TGTCTCAACATATAAAAGCTATTTATGACAAACCCACTCAATGGTGAAAACTAAAAGCCTTCCCATCAAAATCTGGAACAAGGCAAGGATGCCCACTCTCACCACTTCTATTCAACATAGTCTTGAAATTCCTAGCCACAGCAATCAGGCAAGAAAAAGAAAATAGATTCAAATTGGAAGAGAAGTAAATTTTCACTATATGCAGATAACATGATACTATATATAGAAAACCCTAAAAGCTCCACACAAAAACTACTAGAGCTGATAAAAGAATTCGGCGAAGTAGCAGGATACAAGATTAACATACAAAAATCAGATGCATTCCTTTAGGCTAACAATGAATTAGCAGGAAAAGAAAGAAAATTAGCAGGAAAGTAAAGAAATAATCCCTTTTAAAATCAAATTAAAAACATAAAATACTTAGGAATAAATCCGACCAAGGAGGTGAAATACTTATATGCAGAGAACTATAAAACATTAATTAAGGAAATTAAAGATGACTTAAAGAAATGGAAAGATATCCCATGCTCTTGGATTGGAAGAATCAGTATTGTTAAAATGACCACACTGCCCAAGGCAATCTACAGATTTAATGTGATCTCTATCAAAATACCCATGACATTTTTCAGAGAACTAGAACAAACAATCCTAAATTTATATGGAACCACACAAGGCCCAGAATTGTGAAAGAAATTCTGAAGAAAAAGAACAAAGCTGGAGGTATAACCTCTCCAGATTTCAGACTATACTACAAAGGTATATGAATCAAAACAGTGTGATTTTTGGCATGAAAAAAACCCTATAGATCAATAGAACAGAATAGAGAGACCAGTAACAAACCCACACACTTATGGTCAAATCAATCTATGGCAAAGGAGGCAAGAACATACACTGGAGAAGAGACAGTCTCTCCAACAAGTGGTGTTGGGAAAGCTGGACAGCTACATGTAAATCAATGAAACTAGCATGCCCCCTCACACAGTACACAAAATACACTACATCAAACTAAAAAGCTTCTGCACAGCAACAGAAACCATCAACAAAATGAAAAACAAAAAACCCCTACCAAGTAGTAAAAAATATCTGCAAACTACGTATCTGATAAGGTGTTAATGCTCAAAATGTGTAAGGAATGCAAACTCAATAGCAAGAAATCCCCAAATAATCCAACTTTGAAAATGAGCAATTAGACGTTTCTCCAAAGAAGATATCCAAGTGGCTAACCAGAACATAAAAAGGTGCTCAGTGTCACTGATCATCAGGGAAATGCAAACCAAAACCACAGATGTCACCTCACACTTGTTAGAATGGTTATTACCAAAAAAAAAAAAAAAAAAAAGACAGGAAATAAGAAGTGCTGGTAATGATGTGGAAACAACAACAAAAAGAACCCTTGTGCCCTGATGATATCCCAGTTTTCAGTCCCTGCTCTTTGAGTCTCTTATTCTTAAAAAAAAATTCTATTTTTATTGCCCCTTTTTCTGATACCCAAAGAACTTTGACTGGGACACACTTCAAGGGTGAAATTAGAAAGTCTACCCTTCAACCTATCTATTTTCTGAGAGTATATAGTTATTCTTCATAGCACAACTTCATGGAGACCCTCTAAAAGTGATTTTTATTTATGCATATTCTATAGAAAGTGTTATTATGTACATTCCTATAGTCACTGTCACTCCTAGGTACTTAATCTCATAGTTCTTCCATACCTCTTGTCTTGCTCTATTTTTGCCATACAATTTATCACCTCCCAATGTTCTACACATTACTATTATTATTTCCTGTCTCCTCTTGCTAAAATTCAAGCTCCATAAAGACTAATTTTTATCTGTTTTATTCCACAGATATATTTCAAGCACTAAAAATATACCTAGTAAATGTAGGGTCTCAGCATCCATTTTTCATATAAATATAAATAAAATCTTGTTTAATGTAATGGTACACAGTCTCCTCCTTTTCTCTTTCTCCTTTGTATTCCATTATCTTCTTTGCAAACTCTAGTGCTGTTTTTTTTTTTTGCAATTTTCACTGTACTCCATTTTTTTAGATGACAGAAGTAATGCTTACTTATCTAACATACAGACACGTTTGACTACTCTCCATATCCTTTATTTTTTAAAAACGTATTCCTTATGGATTATTTTCTTCTATTATCTCAAGTAAGCTAGAGTAAACACACAGAAGTATAACTCAAAATTTTTCAAGGAGCTTTTACCCTCTGAGAAGGCGCTGCATATATGAAACATGTTAATGATCATACTGATGAAGCAGATGCGTAACATTCATATTCTGTTGGCGTCAAAAATATTTTTTTTTGCCAGAAACTGAACCATAGCACTTTGCATTTCCTGTCACCTCCAAAGTGCCCACTATAAAATTTGCGTGTTTGTGCTGTTCAGTGGGAGCTGGTAGATCTGTTATATTTAAACCTTCACGGCTTTAGTAATGAAATAAATGGTCTCCTAAAGAACTGAAAGAATAAATTCTCTCTAGGTTCTTACCTCACTATCATGGAGGAACTTGGGCTCCAAGAAAGCACAGTCCGATACTTGCATATCCTTAAAGATTCAACAACCAAGATGGGATATCAGACTATTGCTTCTGACACTTTCGACTGAACCCTAAACCATGTTTCATGGGTTGATGGAAATCAGAATCAACTTTTATCTACAGGAAAATAGTATTTTTATAGCTACTCACAATCCTCCCTGTAAAACTGTCAATTTTACAAATGCTGCTGGCAACAGAAACGTAAGTTGCAATGTCTCATAATAATCCTAAGTGCTATGCAATAAAAACAAATATCCAAGGCCTGTTCTTTACTGAGACTATTATTTCCTGATTCACACCGACATCAGGCTAGTTGCTAATATTCTTATTCATTACATTTGTGTTCTTTTCCTTATCTGATCACATCCTTGCCTCCTATAAAGATGTTAAGAACATCCATCCTCATGATCATTAGCGTATCAATGACACAGTCAATGTGACCCCAGGGAACAGCGTGCAGGAGCATCTGCCCCTCTCTCTTATGTTCATTTAATTACAAATCTTCCCCAACGCCCACACAAGTGTACCCCACAAACAGTATTCCTCAAAGAGTAAACATACTAAGTATGGTGGTCCATGCCACCAGTCAGTAAGTACTTTCCCTTTATGGAATAGTCTCAGTTTTAAAGGATGTTCATAATATTAGTCTTAGAATATTCTTCATGGAAATGATACTCATAGGGCTATTCCACCCATTATGAAAGTAGGAATAAGGCTATGAATTACTTAGGCTATTTACCCCCATGGGGTATCAGATGAGCAGTATAAATAAATTCTGGAGCCAGACTTCCCGGGTTCAGGTCACAGCTCTGACACTGACTAGCTTTGGGACATAAGGCAGGTTACTTAACCTTCAGGGTTTTTTCATCTGCATAAACCAACCTCTAGGAATGACTGTGATGATTAGGTATGTTATTGTCTGTAAAGATCTTAACAAAACTGCTGGCATCGTGTAAGTGTAAGGTGCTGTTATGTATAGAGCCTCAAGTGATGGGGTGTTTTAGGAAAAAGGTGATGGTGGCTTGCGGTGTTCCTTCAGGTCTTACTTTCCCTACGGCTTAGCAAACTGCACCTGGGGAACTGGAAATGCTAAATCTATCAGCAAAGACCAGGAAAGGGCCAAGTTTATTTGTAGTGTTACCTTATAGAAATTAAAAGTTTGAGTTTGTAACACTGCAAAACTTTAAAAATTTCTAAGACTTGTAGACAGTAAACATTTTATGTACTGAAGAAGATAGAGAGAAATGTATTGCTTGTCTATTAGTTTTACACATGAAAGTCAAGCTGACATTTTAAAATCAGTGATACGGCAGGTGCAGAACTTCTCAGTGCCTCCATTTGTAATTCAATCCTCCTCTGCATTTAGGCTGTTACAAAGCAAGATGGAGTCCAAGACACAGGATTTTTGCAAGACAACCGTGTACTGCACAGATGTGTGATACCAACAGAGTGGAGGATTTACCAAAAGATACGCTTTTAAAAAAAACCCAAGAAAGGTATAAGCTTTAACTACAACACCATCTGGTTCCCTAAACTGTACTGAGTATCTTTTGTAAAAATTTCTTTCCTTAGATTTTATTCATACACTTTCAACAAGAAAATCGTGTATAATTTCTCCCTTTTTAAAGAACTTGTAAAAACGATATATACTTGATATTAAAAAAATCAATCATGCAGGCAGAGTCAACAGAAAACAGTACCACACCACCCTGAAGGAAGTGCCATTTGCATTTCGTATAGATGGTCCCAGGCATGCTGATAACGCTAAGGACAGAGATGAACATGAGAAAGAAGAAAGAAGCACAAATACAGGTTCAGATGACAGCATTATTTAAAAAAGAGATATCTGATTATTAGCCTTATATTTAGGTGAAGAGAAGAAACTGAAATGAAACTAAAATTTTGGTGACTGTCAAATAGTTTCTTCACCACAGACACGCTATTTTCTAAATATCAGTCTAGTGTTACATGAAATTAGCATGAAAATATTGGAGTCCTTAAAAACTGGTTCTCTAGATGGGTTAAACACTCAGCCCCATCCTTTCCTCCAGAATTCTTCTATTCCTGAGCATCTTATATAGATTCAGATCTTTTTTCATGTTCCATTTTTTATGTAACAATTTTACTGGCTAAGAATGACCTCTATTGTCTTCTCACAGTTCTGCTTTACTTAATATCTTTCTGTCTCCTTTAGAGATGAAGGGCAGCTGAGCGAATATGGCCTTCTTGGGCTGCCCTGTAGACATTATTTCTGGAATCGTGGGTTATTGGTAAGAAATCTGAGACCACTTTGACTTCCCCTTCCATGTGATGTGCTCTTCTACCCGGGTGCGCATGTTTTACTTCATCCTTGAAATTAAGGGACGAAGGACCTTGTTATGACCTTTACCAAAACATCTTCAGCACCCCTCCTAGCTTCGCAGCTCTATTTAACTCTTAGTTCTCCTTTGCCTTTATAATTATTTTTTGTAATGTTTCTCCCCCCTCCTCAAATCTTCCACTCCTCTTCAGCCTGTTACTGCTCCTGTTTTCAGACAGAGACGTATCCAAATCATGTGCTCGGCACGTCTGTGTGATAAGGAATGTTCACTGGACTGTATTTTGTGTTTCTGGATGTAAGTATGGATTTTCTGTTCATGTAACTGTATGAGGGACTTCTCAGTGAAAAAGTGTTGAGAGACAAGTGATCAATACAAAAATATTAGAAGCCATGTATTTGCTAAATAAAAATAATAAATAATTGTCAGAAACGCATGCTATAGAAAATAGACTTAGGCTGAAGAACATCATTTGTCAAACCTAACCTCACTGAGAACATCTCTCCTCCTGCAACCCTCCTCGCCAATGTCACTTCTGCTATTTTGAGAATTTGTGGTTATCTCTCAGGTCTCTTTGTCAGTTTACCACAAAGGGCAAATCGGTCTTTTACTGTCATTCATCTGTCTCAGGATTTTAGCCTCCCTGTTCTCTAGAGAGAATTAGCTTCTTTTTCATAGACAAGATGACAGTTCACATCTTTTGTAATCTGGGGGCTCAACAACAGGCCAATAGGACAGTCAAGAGTACAGTCATTTGAACTTCCAAAGGCGACAGATAAAATGAAGGTTCTTAGGGGAAAAAATCTGTCTATCCTCTTTATATTTTTACTATTGTTTTCCCCATTCTTCAGACAAAAAGTTTTGGTTTTAAAGTAAAAACATTTTTAAAACAGGAACTTGCAGAAGTTATACATCAAATTAAAAGGCTCTATTCACAAAATTAGCAAACAACATGTGATTGGGACCATTACAAAAAATCTGATTCCCTACACAGCATATGTCTTACTGACTGCTAAATATTTATGGTAGGTTATACACAGAGCAGTTCCCATCAAGGACCCTAGGGTAACACAAAAAACAGTAATACACAAGTGTCCAAGTGAAGCATAGAATATTCTCTAGTAGCTTCAAGAGGAAGAGCGGACTCTTTCTTGAAGGAATCAAGGAAGGTTTTATCAAAGACTTGATAGATGGAGAGAGGGAGGTAGAATCAGAGACTAACAGAAGTAAAGGCATGGAGGCCGGCTATTACGATGGAAGTGTTTTCCCTCCACAGAAAATGTCCTATCTAATGACAGCTGTGACCCTTAAAGGTTCTTAAAGGTTGTACAGTAATTGCATACACATCAGTAGTTTTGTAAGTCTTTTTGGTAACAAGTAATATGAAATGGAATTATAGTTGATATTGTATTTCTTACCAGGTCACTGATTTATAGAAAAGGTCAAAATTAGCCACGGACTGAACAGTAGAACAGGTGAAGTTTATGATCAGAGTTCCCCCAGGCACTCATCTTTTATGACTACCCCTGCACGTGCGCGTGCGCACACACACGCTTGCCCTACTATCCTAAACTTTCAGGTGATTTTTCCATTAACTTTGTTTCCCGCCACCCCACAACTCATTCCCATGTCTCCAAATACAGTGACACTCTTCAAGAGGTATCCCTCTATAATTTCACTATATTCCAAAAGCTAGTTTTTAAGCTTCC